AAGCAGGGAAACGGCCCCACGGCCGCCCCCGGCCGGGGGAGGAGATGGAGGGTAATAAAAACGATGTGAAAACGCCAAAACGCGGTGCCGCGTGGTGTCTGCGCGAAACGGCGCCGAACGGTTCCCTGTTAATCTTAAAACGGTGCTTCTCCGAGGCAGCACCTGGACCTAGCATCAGTCAGCAGTCCAGCTGCTCAGAACACAGAAAAGGGGCATACAGCATCCTCGATTTTATTTTCTGGAGATGAAACATGTCAACCAAGTTTCTGAAGCATCTTTTAATCGGAGATAAGAGTAAACAATGGTATAAAATGGTAACAACTCAAGAAGTTTCCAAAATTCAGCTCATGATTGACACACGGGTCTTCCATTGCCCCCAAGTACCATTGAGTAAAAAAAAGAAGCAAAGCCCATGGTGCGGCTGCCTTTCCAGCCCAGCCATTCCTCCCCACCGCTGCAAAATCAGAGCAGCAACATTCACTTCTGTCTTGGACTACAGACAAGCAGGACCAAAACATCTTATTTTCTGGAAAGTTAAACACAGCCCACCAGTACTGGTCCGCCCTCAAGTCCTAGCTTAGCCAACTGTATCCAGTAGGTCTAGAAACATCTTCAAAACCACAACTTGCAACAGAAAAAAAAATTTTAAAAGGCATGTATTGTGATGGTTATCTCAGGGGCAATAAACAACCCCCCTCCCCCATTTCAGAAGGCTGTAGTCAAGACTTCAGAGGGGCTTGCAGCACCAAAATAGGCAGCAAATGCTGGCCTGGTCCCTCGTGACAGCAGAGATACAAGCTATAACCTCCTTAGCACATAGCACCCCGATGGCAAGTTAGAACGTCTCTGTTGTAGCACAGTCCAATTCAAAGCTTGGTCGTAGTCCAGAGCGCTCACAGCGGGACTGAGAAAAAGAGTCTCTGCTACAGCCAGGGTAGTTTGGACGTTGAACCACTGGACCCTGCGTTCTCCATGCTCTTAGGTGGCTTCTGGAGTGCATCAAGGAGATATGCCGAACCTGCACCGGAGCAAACCGTCACTGAAATGGCACCGTAACCCTCCTGCGGTCAGCAGCCAGCCTAGTCCAAACTTATTCCGCCTTGAGTTGATCCTAGTAAAAACCAGTTTGTCACAAACAAAGATACCTCTGCAAATCGATGGGACTAAGAATTAAGTACAAAATGGCTTAAAGTGAAATCTGCAGCTTTGTTTTTGCCCTAGTCATTGGCTTTATCCCTTCTGTTGCGCAAAGCCTCTGACTGGTCTGGATTGTGCCCGTTTCAGATTTGCTGGAGGTTTCTGGGGAAGGGGTATCTTGATTAAAGATCACTTGGGAATGTGGAGCTCAACACATCTAGATATTTAAAGATAAGTTCGTGTTTGCTCAAGGCCAACCCACAGCCTTACTCTTCTGGCCACTGGCCACTAGCCACATGGCCATTAATGCGGTTGGAGCCGTTACTTGAAGTGCTGAAAACTCCTTTTGTGCTGTTGGAAGTCACATCCTCCTCTTCAGAGCTGCTCTCTACATCACTGCGGTCATCTTTTGAAACCTAAACATTCAAATGAAATGTGGTAGTGGAAAGGGGAGAAGGGAAGTTGAAAAATTCACAGAAAACAGTGGTTAGAAGGTTGTGTCCATGTGTCCAGCTTCAGTCAGTTACATTTACCTTCTGCTTTTGATGCTGAATCACTTCAAACTCACAAGGAGGAACCTGTTATCACATACGGAATGCAAGACAGACTTGAAATGATAATTTGGAAATAAGAGTTCCATTTTCCAAATACTCTATACATCTGTGAAAGCACTACACTTTTCTTGCTCTCACCAGATCAGAGGACACTACAGATCTTTGGTTGTTCTTATCTTCCAAGATCTGCATTCTAGATTGTGGTTAAAGGCCGCTTTTCCAAACAACAAATTTGTTTTGAATCAAAAAACTTCTCACACCATAATCATCAGTGGGTATGATGACCAAAAAACATGTATATATCAGTTTTAGAGAGAACATTTTGTCCTACAGGGAGCAGCTATATTTATCAAATTACTGTTTGCACAAAGTGCCTACCATTTTCACAGCTTGTGGTTCATACATGAGAACTCATTTAACAAGCAAAAGCCTGTCTGGACAGTGGGCTGTAGAACAAAGACAACAATCTAATCCAGTTCAGGAACAGAAGGAGCATCTCAGCCCAGAGATCTAGATCTTCTTTACAGAGTTATGCCTTTAATTAAAAGACTGACTGCAAATCCAGCTGAATTTGATCTGTACGTAGGATTTTGAACTTTTCGAAGCAGATCCAGGCGCACTTTGCTGCCGGCTGCTCCGAGTGCCGCAGGAGGGCACTGTACCTGCACCAGGGAAGGGAAGAGATCAAAAGCCCGGCCCTAACTGCAAACAAGCACCTTGGTTGGTGGCGGGGTGCCAGAGCCATAAACTCACCAGTGCCGAGCAGTGACTGCCTGAATGGCCCGTGCTCTGCATACCCCAAGGCAGGCTCTCCACACTTCTACCTCTGCAACTAATAGCCCTCATTTACTTAATGTGCAAGCACTTTGCGGCTAGCACCTTTCCAAGGTTTCAGGATTTCGTTCTACTCCGCTTGCTTTGAGTCAGGGTTAGGGCTTTTGAACAGCACCAGGCAGGAAGTTTTTGAATTCAAGGGAGGATCTGGCAGAAAGCCAGGTAAAGTTAATGATCTCCAGGATTGGTTTTGACAGGCCTGTTGGATGTACTGGCTTCTGTCTGTTGCCAGAACTTTTGGTATCTTTCCCCACTCTCCTGCTATGTTGGAAGTTCAAAGAGTCACTGGAAGGAAGCAGAAATCCCTTGAAATTTTTCCCGTTATTTGGGGAAGTGACTGTTCTACTCCTTTTTGCAAAAAGCATTGCATTTCTCCTGTCCTCTTCCACTCAGCACAGTGTTAATGAGCACTAAAGACAGATATCAGAGTCTCTGTGGGCATATAAAAGCAGAAAGGTGAAGGTCATGCAGCCAGCTCACAGCAGATAAGAACAAACCCCAGGACACTGCTTTGACCTTTGGAAAAAAATGCATTTTAGCATACTGTCAGAACCAGCACTGTATCAACCAGGGAGAGAAACATTTTAAGAGAAGGCACCAGCCATGTAAAGCCCCAAGACCATAGCTTTGCTTTTGTCTTAGCCTTGAAACAGACACAGGTGTGTTTCAGGGAACAAACAGAAGCACAGATCACACTTACATGCAAAGGATGAAACTGTCCAGCTCCAATCTGGCACAGAGAAAAGGAGAAAAGAATGAAGAAGACAGAGCTTAGAGTCCTTTCTCTGGCTAGGTCACCTGGACAGGAGAGAACCAAGGAAAGGAAAAAGATGTAGACCTCAGGATACAGAAACAGCTGTATCCTGACAGAAAATAAGACATTTGCAGTAGCAGCTGTGGGGAACAGATGAAAAGATCATGTGCATAGTCTGGAACATGCCTTCCCCTGACAATCACTGCCACAGACAACCATGATATAAATATTTTTCAAGGTTACATTCCATGTGTAGGGGCAGCTAAGAAGTCAAACACAAAATAAAGGAGAGCCATGAGAGAAACTCAGATCAGAATACCAAATATCTGATTAAAAAAAAAAAAGCATTTGTGCTATGAAATCAGCTGCTGCTTTCTGGTAGCTGCAAGGGAAGTGGCTTCTCTTGATGGGTAGGCTGGGTGTCAAATTAGCTCCTAGAGTGGCTTACCCTGTCTCATGCTACTTCAGTTGAACTACACCATTTTGCTTGGCAACTGAGGTTGCAGCTAGAAGTCAGCACTGTTCACTCTCAGGGCAGGATCTGTTGCTAAGCAGCTGCTGTAGTTTCACCCTCCCTCTCCCTAAGACTCCCAACACAAGTTAAAATTGGAATACTCAGGACTGAAGCTAGACTGCACCCCATTAGCCCAGTGACAACCAGCAAACCCCACTGCATTTCTGATAACCCTTTCTCTTCTGCATGCTGCAGCTCAGTGCCTCGCCTGCAGTGACAGCCAGAAGCCTGTGTTAGTGCTAAGAAGTGGAAGATGCATAACCCTCATCACATCTCCAGAACCAGCTAAAGTTGGAAATCATCCTACATGATTGTTCAAAAAAGAGCCTACTACCACCTTAAACTCCAAAGTACATAACAAGTCTGTCATCATCACTATTATTACAACATCTGAACATACTGGAAAATGGTGTTATTTCCCTGCATGACCAGAACAGAGAGGAAAGCATCCCTGCCTTTGTATACACCTGGCAACGCAAGTCTGCAGAGCAACCAAGGTAAAAAAACTACCATTCTACAAAGCGCTCCTGATGCAAGTCCCTTGAGAACTAGTACCAACCCTCACTGAAGGGCCCGGTTTCTCATGATTGCTTAATAGGGCTTGTAGGAAAGGAGACCCAAAAGAGTCACCAGCAATCTTACCTTTCCCCGCACGAGGGCCTTGTAGGCAGTGCGAATGATGAGAGAAGACCAGATGATATGCAAGATCTGCAAGGTTATCAAAAGCCCATTGAATAGCCACCATGAAGGATAAGGACCAATCAACTCCCAGCTTTCAAATAGGGTTGTATTCAATATCCTAAAAGAGATCCAGAAACACATTACAGATCGGCTGTGCTGGTAACATGGCTTCCAGCTCTAAATTAAGATGACTGGCCAGATGCACAACAGTTTGTATCTCATTTAAGCATCTGTTGCTTTGCTCCTAGCAGAGCAGTGATGGAGCTAGTCGCTTGCCAGAGTTAGGAGACAGACTAAAGCTAATTAGAAACATTTGAACTGAGCAACAAACAGGAGAAGATGTGAATGCTCTGCAGTTTGGTTACACATACAGATCTGCTGCCAATTTCCTTCTCAAAAGCATGAGCATTTATAATAACTTTAAAGGAAATGATGTCAAGCTGCACTGGTCATCAAAACAACTGTTAACACATTCATACTTGGGCAGTCTTCACCCATATTTAAAGATCAGGAAGGAATTTTGTTCCCAGTAGGCCTCCCTCCCTGTGCGCTATTCTCTTCCCTCAGATTTTTATAGACTCCTCCTGCCAAGCTGGAGGACTAGAAATTGCTTTATGGACACAGCTTTGTGCTTTCTTTCATTACTGTTTTGCTGTTCTTGTCGCTGGGAGTTATTGCCAGTACTTAAGTAATTTAATAAACACTCTAGATTTTATGAAGTAGAGAGGTATGGAGAGACCTTTAAAGACGTCATTAATTTCACATAGCTTTTAACATTTCACGAGAAAAGAAAAACAAGCCTTTCAAAGAAGAACCCAAGTCCCCCAAAATGCAGCTACAGAAACATCTAACTCATAGCCAGTTTATGGATGAATTAAATGCAATTCCAGAGATCTGTTGATGTTTTATACTACTAATTAGGGAAGGGAATATACGTGAAGTGAAATAGCATAGGGTCTGCAATACTGCTGCAAGCTTGCCAGATTCCTCTACAAAGTTGAGGAATTACATTACAGCCAGTGGAAAATACATTAAAGATTTACAGGACTGCTGAGCAACAGCATGATGCAAGAGCATCACCTCATGACAGACAACAGCAATAAAAACAATGAGAACTATCTGTCACTGGAAGAAGCCTATGAAGACATAAGAATTAAAGCTCTTCCTTAGCCAGACTCTTTTGAGGCATTTACTGGAAAACAAGCAAGAGCTTTAATTGCAACCCTGATACCAAAGCATAAATATTGTTTCAGCCTACTGTCAAAGCATCCAAAAAGAATGGGGAATGCAAGCTGTCTATTGCCTAGGAAATAAATATATGCAGTAAAACCAAAATAAATTGAGTAATAATAAGGTGTAACCAAATTTTCACCACACACTCTCAACAGAAACAAGAAGTGGATAACAGCTCATCAACAGAAGAACCTCACCAAACCTGATCTACTGAGGTAAGAGGGAATCTCATTATAGGATGATTAGCTATAAGCCATTTAGCCAGGGCTTTACCTCCCAAGAAACCTAAGGCCTATTTCAGGCTCTGAACAGTCACGACACAAGGACAGGACACAAGTGTCGTAAGAATCAGAAACTGCAACAATGACTAAGCCAGATACTCAAAAATCAAATTTACCTCAAGAGACCATGCCTCATTTGTAACTACTTCCAAAACTTCTTAAGAGAAGCAAGCAACCCTTCAAGTCTTTCAGAGCAGATACCGGCTGACTTGGCTCCGGCTAATAAGCACTGTCATCACTTTGCAGTAAGAGGAGAGGGGCCAGCTGTGCATCAGGATTCTAGTCACTTTTCACACTCCCTCAGCTGACTGTTGAGAGGTTTCTTCATATGCCTAGTTGAACGTACTGCTCCAAACAGTACTTGGGTTGTCTGCAACTTCAGGCTGCCTTGAGGGACAGGCTGGAATGCTTGCAAGAAGTCTAAATACAAAGGCTTTGCTTAAAGGATTGGAAGAACAAACAAGACCTTATAGCTCAAGGTGCTTACCAGAAAGGATAAATGCCCAACCGTGTAACAATGAATACAACACCAAAGAGCATGAAGAAAGCATCACATAGACGTTGGTACTTGGCATAATTGGCTAGCTTTGCAGCCTAAAAGAGACAAGAAATATGAGAATATTATTCCCTTTGTGCACTCACATAATTACCAGGCTGTAGAGCTTCAAAAACTCTCAAGCCGTCACATTTAAGGAGTTTGGAACATTTAGGGATTATTCTCAGCACTAAAGCAGTTATGGGGAAAAGCTGACAAGGCAGGATCAGCAGCACATATTTTATGGCATATTTAATGCAGTTTATCAACAATGGGAAAGTCAGCTTGCCCCCCCAAGACCACACTAGCATTAGGGTACGCAAAGATTTGAAAGGAAACTCACCTCTAAAAGGAAATCTGATGCATCATGGAGGCACAGCACCAGAGTTCCAACCCGCACCATATTATTCATATAAGAGAATGTAATGAGTCCAATTGTAGCCAAATGATGGACGAACATGATCAGGAAGTCCTGGAAACAGAAAAAAAAAAAAGAATGAAGACTCTTTGGCCGTCAAAAAAATAAAAAGATTTGGAACACAGCCACAAAACTGACTAACTGGGGTCATAGGATTACTTCAGTTCAGGCTCTGACACCACTTTATATAAAGCACAGCTCATCACACAACATCAACCATCATCACTAAAAGTTCTAGAAAGGTCTCTCCCAGCATTTGTGCTCCTCCAGAGTCAGAACTCTGCATACACAGGCACAGCACAGTCTCCTTGGCACACACATACAAGGTAAAGATAAGTATGCCTGCAGACCCCACTGAAAAGATTGACAGGACAACATATGGTCCTTATTTTTGGCTCCTTTTGGTTTTACAGTCATATTGCTAGCCCTTTCAGCTCTTGGCACAAATTTTAAGTACACTGCTGTTACTGTTGTCAGTGTGCAAAAGCCTGCCAGAGCATAGCAGGCATAGAACACAAGATAACCCAACAGCAAGAACTAGGCCACTTCATTAAAAAAATGTTTACAATGTACATACATTCAAGGCTGTTTTCCAGTTTAGCCCCCTGAGTACAACACTGCCATGTCAATGTACCTTACCATGCTTGCATGGGGAATGTAATCCACTGTGTTAAAGTCAGAGTACAAAATTAAACATTATGAACTGTATCACAGATGCTGTTAATCACTCCCTTTCTGCAGCTCCAAGATATTCTGTAGTGCCTCACCTACTAATATTCCAGTACAGAAAAAAACCCCAGGCAAAGTTTTCTTTTTGAACAGTCAATACAATAATTGGGATAATTTGCTACTTTGCAGTTTGTATAACAGAAGCAATAAACCATGATTTACTACGAACTGTTTTCCAACAGCAACAATAAGCCAAATCCTAGAACATAGCGCAATGGAATTAGATTCAGGCAATCGCAACCAGTCATCATTCTGCTATACAAATAGATGAAAAATTACTTTCAAAAAAACATTTATTATTGCTTTAGTGTTTGCAATTTTCTCACCCGGCTCAGCAAGGTACTGCTTTGAGCATCTCATTTCATATTTTCTTGTAAGCCTTCTAATTAAAACCATTTTTACGCAATGATTTGATAACTTTTTATTGGGAGGTATTGAGTGATTCTGTTCTTTCCCCTGGCAGGTGAAAGGGACTCTCAAGGATATACCAGGTTGCATATCAGGCTCGCGCCTCCCTCTTTCCCAGGACTGGGTAGTGATTACAGAAGGAGGTAGGCTACACAAAGATGTGAATGAGGAAGAAAATAAAGCTATGCCTTAGTTTTACTGGCCAGGCACACTCACGTTTTTTGTTAGTCCCATCTATTTAGCAAAGTGGTTAGTGCAATTCTGGTTAATCTCACCTTCCGTTTAATGTCTGTAAACTGAGAAAACATGAGAGACCAATAGAAGGCCAGCTCCAAGATATAGTAATAATAAAGCCTGGATGTTAGAGGCTGGAAAACAAACAAAGATAGCACAGTTAGAAGACAAAGTACTTAAAAATTTACATTAAAATCGACTTTTCCTTCCTTCCCATCCCACTCTGTTCTTCCAGAATGCTGAAGCGTAAGTTAAAAGATCCAGAATTAAGGTTTAGCAAAAAACAAGCTTAAGCAACAGACGTCTTACTCTAGGCTTAGTCACACAAACATACTTGTGTGTTTGAGCTTTATTCAAAAGGAGTAAGATTCCCTTGTCAATATTTAGAACTCTTACTGCAGCCTTTTGGATTAGGAAAACCAGGCACTGAAACAGACTGGTTGGCCTCTATGCAATCATACTTGCTGCATAATGAAAACAACACTGTAAATAAGTTACCAGTACAATTTTACGCATAATTTTTTTTTCACTTCTAATAATCTCAGCAGCAAGTAAACATAAAATGAGTATGAACTGAGTCAGTTCTATCTGAGGAAACACTGCTGTTGACAAACCTAACCAGGATCTGAAGACATAAAGAGTAAATGCCATCTTTGTGCCTTACAAAAGGGATGGCCATTCACTCACTAGAAAGCTTACCAGGCTGCAGCCTGTGCAGCATCCACCCGCAGAATGAGAAGCACTCAAGTCTACTGAGTTTCAATCTGCTACCATTAACAAAAAATAAAAACTGAAATTGTGCAAAAAGTTGGACTCTAGTAAGTGTTTATCTCCTACCTGAAAAGGGTAGTTGTACCAGCACTGTCGTGTGTCCCAAAACCAGGGTGCCTAAAGGGAAAAAGATAAGTTATTATTCTACTGGGTTTTTTCTTCCGTATCATCTATGGCAGTTGACCACTATAGTACTGTTTCACTGAAATTTTATCTTGATTCTACCATTCAAGCTAAATTTATTGTAAAACATCCTAGTGATTTAAAATACTCTTTCTGCAAAGGCAAGTTATACTGCAATGGAAATTCAAATAATAATCACACAGCGTAATAATAATAATAAAGACCCAAAGAGATGAATCTGTATCCCTTCAAGAGGGAGATGAGAAAAAAATAAGCAGCTCTCCATAGCAAAAAAAAAACCAAACCAAAAAAAAAAAACACAAAAAACCCCCCAAAACCACAAAACAGTTCTGTCCCATTCTGGGTTAACAGGATAAATAAGTTTCTAATATTTCCATAATGACAGATCTGTATAGAAGCTTTCCTGTAGTGTAAAGAAGATCCTTAAACAGAAACCCCAGGATCTCAAATAAGGGAACATAAAGGTGACTATCACCACTAAACCCCCCTTGTTTTAAGCTAGGTGCAAGCACTGAAGTGACACAGGTAGTCAAACCCCCTGTATTTCAGCAGGCCAGCCATAAGCCAGCAGCATGCCACATAGAACAAGGTGGAGGATGACAGACCAACTCACCGTCCAGAGAAACCTGATTCCATAAAAAAATATACTTAAATAATATGTAAATCTCCACCTGGAAAAAGAAGCAAAAATTAAACTTATGAAATAGAAATAGCTTCTACATTTGTAACAAAAACTGGAACAATTGTGAAAAAACTCAATTCTGACACCTGAAAAGCTTTCACCCACCAAATGGTAATCCTTCATTCGTAAACGTTTCATGTAAGGATAAACCTATGTAAAAGTTTTCACACCACACACAAGTTTGCATAAACAGCCAAGTTTGAAATAAAGTTCAGAGTGAACATGCATCATTCATATGCTTTAATATACAATAACAAGATAACAACAAGATAATTCATTGTTATCCAGAAGGTATCCTAATATATGTACTTGTCCCTCTTACCTTGTGGCTTTAAGTAGACAAAACCATACTGGGGGGAAGAATTAATATGAAGAAAGTTACTGGAAAGGAAAGAAACCAGCACAGAAGAAATAACAAGTCAGGAAAAAATATTCAGATGCTACTACACTAACAGAGGTAACTGCAAGCATTCAGAAAGAAACAAAGAACAAAAGAATGAACTGAAATGAAAAGAACAGGAATCCAAGAAGTGTCTGTATAAAAGTATATACATCATTGTGTAAGCCATAAGGTCATTCTCTCTGGGAACAAACGCTGGTCTACAACATAACCGTGCAGACAGCAGATTTGTCTTCAGTATAATTACTCAAGTTGTGCACATGCATATGCATACATGCACACACATGCACACTGAAGTGCTACGTTTGCATTAAGGACCTGGTCCACTATCTAAAGTTGCTCATCGTTGACAGGAGTAACTCCTGTACATGTGTTCTGGTCTCTCATGCACATATACAAAATATTTTAGAATACTAAATTCTAAAAAGCCGTCCTAACATCATTCATTTGCTTATATAAGAATTTAATCTTCCACCAGCCAACCCCAAGACACTAGTTTAAATTAGCAGCTGACCACAGTTTCAGTTAGAAAAGAGAACATACAGCTGGAGCTTTAAGATGAAGCCACATCTTGGCCTCTGCACAAACATACATGCTCTCACAAAATTTAGTGAGGGTGGTGGGTTTGTCCTGGTTCCTCCGATGACGAAACCAGCGCTGGATCTTTCGAACATCCCAGTCTAGCTGCTTTGACAAGCCTTCTAACCTTTTTCCATCTGGAGACTGAAGGAAAATGAAACAAGTGTCATTTCTCCTGCTTCTCAACCTACTTTCCGGCTGAAATTCCCTCTGTACTATGATAGAAATGATGCACAGATAACAAAAAACACATACTAGGAAGGCACTACATACAGACTAGAAGCAGGAACCCACTGCCACAAATGTTCATTCAAGTTTAACCTTCATAAACCACTAATTACTTAATTATTCAGAATGCTTTTGGTTTAACATTTCCTCATGTATTTCATCATTTGGCAGCACATTATGACAAAGAATGCAATTGTTCTGTTTCTTAATTTTAGGGGGAGGAACTTCTAAAATGTCCTGTCCTACCTGTTAAAACTTGCACATCAATTCAAACAGTCCAGAACTCAGGAAGATCAAAGCTGAATACATTTAAGGGTTGCTACTCACTGCAAATTTAAGGAAACTTTAAAGCAAGAGTTGGTTTAACACACTACATATTTGTATCTTCCAAAAGGGCATTGTAGAGATGGCATTATTTCCGTTACCAAAGTTTATAAATAAAATTAAATTTGAAAACTGAAATAATTGTATGATAAAGAATGTATCATTGTTCTCTGACTGGAAACTCTACTGGCGGTTTATTTGTTTGAATAATGACATAAATGGATTTATAAGAGACAAAGTGAACAAAACCTGATAACTACCTCTAAAATGGCCCAGTGGTGAGATAAGCCACGTTAGTTTCAGACCAGTGTCCTTTTAACAAGCTCTGCCAGGGAGCTCTTACAACTGAAAGATGATAAACACATTTTACTACATGAGTTACATACAAACCCAAAAAACTATGCAGAATGCTGATTTAATAAAGAGTCACCAGACTGTTCAACTGAAAAGCAAAATAATCTGTCATTTGATTTTCAGTATTGAGACCATGACTTTCCTGTAACTCCATCACAACCAGATCTCTCTGCACTTTACTAGGCTTTAATGGTTCAGGCTACCTGACACTGCTGCATTGGAAGTGAACCTGCCTCAAAGGAGAATTTACAGGGCTCCAATTTCAGAACTGCAATGAAATCTTTCCCCTGCATCAGTGCCACCCTACATTCTGATTCTCCAAACCCAACAGCAGACACAAGCATGCTGGTACAGTTAAACGCAGCTCTGTTTTCATAAGCTAGATAAATTTTGCACAGGATGTGTCCTCATGGGTTTCCTAAACATTAATTTCAAGGACATCCCCTACATAAAAGTCCTCTCCACAAACGACATCAAATCATAGGGACTTTTCAGTTCACATGTCATTCCAAATACCTCAAAACTTTAATGTTCCTATGAGGCGGGTTTTAGTCAGGTTTTTATAGAATTTCCCTTCCATTCATTGAGCACTTTATCTGCTCCACTCAGAATGAAGTTCAGCATCACCAAATCAGAACATAAAACCTTCCATTTCATTATCTTTAATGAAAATCTATCATGCTGTCCGCGTGGATTTCACTGTCAACATTCAACAGAGTTCAGGCAGTGTGGAATTCTGTAATTCTGAAGTGAAGGAGCACTGTCAGCTTAAGTGAAAGAAAGGCCATGAAACAATCAAAAGAAACATCTACTGTCAACATTAAATGTCCTACCCTTTATCAGAGCATACTTCCATTGACTGAATGCTTTCCTTAAATAACTGACTTCCACTGTGACAGCTGTTGTCCAATTCCACAGCAGATGGCAAAAATAAGATGATGACATTCACACAACTGGCCAATAAAACCAGCAAAGGAACCAAACTCAAGGAAAAGAGTAACATTTTTCCAATAGAAAGTGAAAGATACCGGGAAATTTCTTGTTAAACCACGAATTACCACCTGTTACAGGAGTAACAATTTGGACAAAGGCAGCGAACTAAAGGAAGAAGCCTCGTACCTTTCTAAAAAGAGAACACTTTTTATTCAAAAAAAGATTCTTCTGTGCACAAAAGCATAGGTCAGCCATAAAGAGAATTTACTTTGCTACAAGAAAGACATGCCAGAGGCAAAGTAAAATAAGAAAGAGCACACTCATTGTGCATGCACAGTGTGAAATGCATTCCTCTCAAACTAGAAAAGTGGAAGCAAAAAGTCCCCCCACACTCTCACTTACAGGCCTCCATTTCTAGCAGAATTTGAAGCATGACTCACCTTAGTGATGGATGTAAACACTTTCTCTAAAATTGCATTGGGCTGGGCTCTGTGAGGTCCACTGTCTTGAATGCCAAGGTTTATGGCACATGGCTTGGCAATAAACCTGAAAGAGTATGGAAGAAAGAGCTAGATTAAAACAAGGTATCTATTTCCCTCCTCTGCCTAAATCACAAGGACCCTGACTTGTCACCAACTGCAAAACCTATCCGATAAGCTTTTGAAGATCTCCACTCACTTCGCTTAAAGAAACTTCACAGGTGAAGAAACATCTTTTTATTAGTCCAAATGGTAATTGCAGACAGCACATACAACACACACATCTAAAATGAAAAATTACATCTTAATGTCCTTGGCTTGTAAGGATCAGAATGTGTTCCCCCAGAGTGATTCTCATTACTCAGAAAAAAAATGATAGATCACTGAAAGGAGTCCTCTGCAAACATAAATGCTAGAGCCCTTGTAGCCCTATAAACAAAATGCCTTCTTTCCAGAATACGCCTTGGTGTCACACAGCTCAGAAAAAAGGGAAGTTCAAGTGACACAGTTCCTAAAAGACACACATTTTATTTTTCCCAAAGACAAAAAAAAAACCCAAACCCAAAAAGTGTCTTGTTTCCTTCCGGAGAGTGAGGAAGATGTAGGAAGTCACTCAGTCTGAAAGACTCAAGAACTCAGTATTTCACTCAGTCCAATATGCATGGCGTATTCCAAAAGCTGATCTAACACTTTGCGAACTTTATAGCACAGACACTCTGAAAACAAGCCTGGTTTTGCAACTAAAATTAATTTATACGTGTTCAAAAATTATTAGGTTTTGCTGTACCTTTGTGTCAAAATGGGCACAGGACTCTAAGGAAAAAGCATGTGTTGCCTGAACATGTGAATTGTCCTCTCTCCTGTTGGTGGGCAAGAGAGAGGGGCTTCAAGAAGCAATTTTTATTATTTTTTTAATCCATTATTTTGAAAGAGAGAGCGCGCAAAGAACCTGTTTCTCAAAAACGATTTTGAAAAGGACCCAACATTTGCATCATTAAATCTATCTTGCTTTGAAACAGAGATTGTTTCAGAGACAACTGAATTGAAGACAACAAATTACACATATGTATTCCATTTAGCAGACTCAGAGTGCCATCAAGCAGAAAATGCTGTTTTTTCCAACCACTACATTTGTTACCATTTCTCCTTGTGTTTAAAAGGAGAGATTAAAATTCAGGAGACTCACGACTATAAGTATTCCAACAGCAATCATTCTTGGGAGTACATTGTTAGTACTTCAGTAACAAATAGCTATGACTGCATTTAAGAACAGACACAGGTTGTGGGGTTTTCCCCTTGAGAAATTACAGATCAGCTCATGACTAATCCTAAAGGAACTCCCTTGCTCTCAGAAAATACTAAACAAGTAATAGACACTGTGGCCCCAGGTTTCACTGTCCTGCCCCATTTCTTCATACATCCTGTTCACTTCAACAGTCATAGCTTTAAAAAAAGAAAAATTTAAAAAAAAAGGAAAGGGTGATTTCCTTTTAGCTTGGCTCAAAAGGCTCACTGCTTCCTCTATAATCTAGACCACCAGCCAGAAATTATGTTCTGATGTTATGAAACATTTGCCTAGACCCCCATAAAAGCGTACATCTTTATACTCTTCTTTCGTACAGGATATACCACAACAACAGCAAAGAAGTACACATGCAACTACAGGACGCCAAATATTTTTATTTCATTTTCTGGGACACAGTGCTTACAGCTCTATTAAAAAAAAAATCCTGGCCTGAAGATACTCAGTTTGGGTCAGTTTCCTCACGTAAGAGAGCAAACCTGAAAAATCTACAAATCTGCACATTCAATTAATTTATTATTCAGGAGAGTCTTTTTTTGTTTTAAGAACAAGTAAAGAAGAGAAGGGATGGTTAAGAAGGCGTATAGTGATCCATACAAAGTTTTGGCATTATTCTAGAATTCAAAACCTGAAGCATCAAGGAAAGAAGAAATAGCATCTCCTCAGAAAAAAAGATGCAGAAATAATTTACTTTTGGACATAAAAATTGCAAAAAAAAACCCCAAACCTCAAAACTTTGCATGAAACTATTCCTGAGTAGTAGGCTTCCTTCACTAGCAGGCTTAGGGAAAAAATACAGATGTTTCCAGAATTCAAGGAAAAAAAAAAACAAAAATCAAGAGTAAGCCACAGGCTACAGCACAGAACTCAAGTTATACAGTCAACCATGCTGGTGACCAAAGAGCAAACCAAAAAAACCCGCAAACATTTCTAGGTGCACAGAAGGAGACAGACATCAAAACAAGCAAACAGACAAGTCATAACAATGGAGGCAACGGAGTAGTCCCAGTCACAGAAATAGGAAGGAAAAAGGATGGCAGCAATGGATTTCATTACTTTTAAGGAAGTCTAACCCAACGCCACAACGTCGCTTCCCTAACTCCGCAAGTAATGCCTTCGTGCAATAAAACTGCAAATGACAACTGTCCTTCCGCAGGGCTTCCTGACTGGCCATGCAAGGCGTTTTCACCTGGGCTGGGCATGGCTGGCTCACACTCATCAGTCCACTGAACAGCCATGGCCCAATTGCTTTGACCAGTTACTACCTTGCAGGTGGAATATGAAGTGAATGATCAATCCTATTGTCAGTCGGAAAAAATATCAAGATGACATGCAATTTCCTTTAGGTGTCCATTAAGGAAAACTCACACTTACAACCTCTGTAGCATTTTATATTTTTGGCCCCAGAATAGGTAGTCAGATGTGCAAGTTTTGCACTGCATCCCACAGAAAAAAATTCTGCATAGCAATAGCAATTAAGCGCCAAAAAAAAAGGCTGCCCATAGTAGGATTTCCATTCTTGGGGATATTCAAAAAGGAACAGTACAAGACCATGAGCAACCTGACTTGACTAAAACATTGGCCTTGCTTTGAGGACAGGGCTGGACAAGGTGACCTCCAAAGGTCTCTTTTAATCTAAATTATTTTATGATTTCACAGAAATCTTAACTGCAGCAACTATTCCCAAGGTCAACTTACTGCCACACCTTCCCAGCAAGGAATTATCATCACTTAAATACTTATATTACACTTTTCTGAACAGGCATCTGCTCATTGGCTTAAGTCATACCTACCAAGCTACCTTTTTCACACTAGTTATTAAGATACACTGATTTTGAAACCAACACCAATTTTCAAGTACACAGACTCATATGTTATAACAAGTATTTCCCAGGCATGTTGTACTTCACAAAACCCAAAGGCAGAATCCTTCTTTTCGGAACATTCAAGTTTGTCTGGTGACTCCCCACGACAGCTCTGAAAAGGAAGAACAATCTGCGAAACAGTAAGTTTTATAAAATATGCACTCAAAGTAAGAGTTCGTCTTTCCATAATCTCTCAGTTTCATTGTGTTAAGATTAAACCACCTCATTCCACAACTGTCCCTAATTTTCCAGACAGACCTGATGAAGTAGCATCTAAAATCACTTTTTTCTCGCGCCTCCAGCTTAAGCACAAGCTGCAGATCCCTCCTCAGACCTGTAGAGTAACAAGCATATCTCTTACTGAAGGGCATTCCAGTATAATTATAAACACATCATATGAATAACAGGCTCCAGGTTTTCGCAGATACCTAGAAATTTTTTTTGTGCCTGCAGTGGGACCAGATGTGTAAGGAGAAATAACAGCAAGTATAACCAAGGAAAAAAAAAATACAAACAAACTCGTGGGCAGAAGTCCTTCTTTGCCTTGCCTGCACAAAATCCATCCCCCTACCACCAAGTCAGGACTTTACCTTCCTCCGTGAGTCTTGCCTCATCTCTATAGCCATGTACTTCCCACAGACAGTCAGCTTAATGAATATTTTACCAACATCATGATGCAAAGGTTAATTTATAGAAGCATTCACTAACAGAAATATGTGTCAGCGTTACAAGTGTCAGTGTCACAAAAGCACTTCCTCACACTGAAGAGCTACAGCAAAAGGAGAGAGAAAAGAAAGAAATGAAGAGAAGCTAAAACAAAAGAGCTGCACAAGTATATAATTCAAGTTCTGAGTCATCGAGTCCAACTGCCAATTGTGTGGCAAGGAAGACATTTGACACATTCATCCCCAAAGCCTGAATATATGTACAACGGGATTTTATTAAGACAAATCTGAACTTTTATGACATGTTCAAAGTGACAGGAGGAAAGAGAACAGCATTTCTTAAAAAATATGGTCTTTTCAAATGAACATACTAGAAACTGCCCTGGATGTTGCTCTCACAATCTGCTTTCACTTCAGGATACCACTGTTGAGACACACTATAGCAAAGACACAGCAGGAAAAAAAAGGAACAACCTTCTCAGGAACCAGGCCATGGTCTCTAGTTTTTACCATGTAGGTGGAGGACTCAATTTGTCATTTGACTCCTCCCTAAATTAACACTGCAAAAGAAATTTCACAAACCAGGTAGACATTATCAGGATAAAGTAACTGCTATCAGGAGGACGGTGTTACTAGGTGCGGTAGGATGCACTGTCTCTCTCCTAACATCTCATACTCCAGAGAAAAGAGAATCTTTTGCACTTCTTCCCCAGACTAAGACACCTGGACTAAACGGGGCTTGGAAAGTGAGACCTTCTTACAATTATCCCTTTCAGGGGCATCGTTCTGTCTCACAACTTCTTTTCCCTGTCCGCTAGCAAGTGTGAACATTTGGCCAAGACTAGCAGTAGCACGCCAAGCTGAGATGAGATTTTGGCACCGCCACGTGTGTTCCTGGGTCCTCTGCACTGGTTTGAACCTCCCCTTTTGTTTTTTTTTTGTGGGGGGGGGGGGGGGGAGGGCAGAAAGATAAGATGGGGAAAAAAGAGCCTCTCAAATTTCTCTCCTACTCTACTGGCCTGCTTCATTTTTCTCCACAGTTTGCCTATCTTTTTACTTCACCTCAGTCCCCTCTTCTTGTTTAATTTCTGAAAGCTCAAGAAAATGCACACTTCTTACAGAAAACTGACACAACAAAATCAACTCGATTCCTACTCACTTTAGTCCTACAGCCCTTTTCATGCTTAGAAATACTTCTGCCCTTTCAATGTAGAAATTTAAGATTAAATCAATCTTTAATGAACTACTTGAACAGGAATACAAGGTGCCTTGCTCTGCTTCACCTAACGGTTTTCCTAAATAAGCCGCTTTACTAATTAGTATTTATGTCACCCACACAGTCTGCCCTGCATGTGGCTGTAAAAGATATACCTCGCAGAAAGGATAAACCTCTGCCCCAGGAAGAGTTAATATCATATGTTTATGGATACCCAAGTAAATGAGAAGTACTATATTACACCTGCTTATGGGCAGATATGATAATCTGCACGCACTTCTATCATGCCCGAGATGTAGGGGATCCACAAATTGTTTAATAATATACTAGGCCATGTGAACAAGTCCGATTTCCTCATCCAGGAACTCGCAAGGAAAGTACAATAAAGGCAGAGACCAGCAACACGAGCAAGCCAACTGCA